TAGATGGCGTACTGTCAAGATTAAAGAATTATAAGTCGCGTTCAAAAATTTAACGTCTGTAAAAAAAATCTATATGTAATGTATCCCAGGTAGAACATGAAACTCATAATGACATTATTATGACGTCATCATGATTTTATTTATCACTTAAAAATTATCTAAACAAAAATGAGTTAAAGATGACAAAAAGAATAATAAATTTTTAAGTTCAATAATCGCATTATATAATTTTAAAAAGTGTATGTTGCTTAAATATAATTAAAATATACATGAATAATTAAATAAACAAGTAATTGCGTAATATATATAAAAAATGATATTATTATGATTGATTTTTAAGATTTCACGCGAAGTATATATATTTCTCCAACAGAGTTTGCTAGAATTGTTTAATATCAAAAATAAGTCACCAAAACATTGCCAAAAGTATATCAAATGAAATCATTATGATTTTTCTAAAATGACTTTTAGGTGACGTCATAATGATGTCATTATGAGTTTCATGTTCTACCTGGGATATTATAGATTTTTAATACTGAATTTTACGCAGTCACAGTAAGAAGACAAAAGAATCTATTCTCTAATCAGAGAGCTTGCCATTTTCTTCAAAATTCTGCAAAAGACAAAGAAACAACAACTCTGTTACTTTTTTTCTATGTCATAAATCGGAGTAAAAATGCTTTACGCGCTTTTTCGTTAGAGATGCTTTAATTAGAATCATATCATAAGACGGCGACTTGTGATTGGTCTGTCTTTTTTTTATTAATCCGCTCTGATTTTTTTAATTGAAATTGTCTCTTTTTTTATTGATCAATCGGCGCAAAGATTTCTTTGTTCTGATTGGTTAATCAAGCACTTCAGTAAATCACATGAAATTACTAGCCTAGGACCATATGGACCAATGAGCATCGAATATTATGTAAGTCAATATGGCGACTTAATACTCGATGCTCATTGGTCTATGCAGTTATGCAATTTCATGTGCGATGGCCCTCTAAATCAGAACATTTTTATCTGTTTGAAATCATCTGTGCGTTTGTGCAGGTTCAAATTTCAATCTTAAATCCAATTTCCGATGCACAGTCTAAACGAGCATTGCATAAATTACAAGTAAATCACCTTTTAGTATCAATTATTGGTTTTCATTTACGTGTGTCATGTAAATTGCAAGTAAATCGTCTTATAGCATCAGTTATTGGTTATGTGATCGTGTACTCGGACAAGCGCGCGTTTAAATGTCCCATCTGTGTCCGATGTTTTGTAAATCTCATTGTTAAGTGTCGAATTACGCGAATATATCGGATTATGATGATTGTCCGCTCGCCCGAGCGTATCGCGTGGCTCGTAAGAAACGTCAAAGTATCGAAGCGTGTTCGTGTTCGCGTTGCTCGGTGATCATCATCCGAGTTTGCGTCGCTCATCACTGGATCGCGGTTACATTCACATATCGTGTACTTTTTACCGCGTTATTACTTTGTGTTTCTTGTGGAATAAACATTGTGCGAAAATAAGTATCTCGCGTATGTAAACAAGGGCCGAGAATGTCGCAAGAATCGTCCGATGTTTGTCGTGTAAGTATCAGTTGCGCGTTCGAATTTCACGTCGGCATCTCTCTCTTATTACATGAAGTAAAATATGTTGTTTCATTATATTACTGAATTAGAATCTCAATTTCATTGTATATAAAAAGGACAAGTAAAAATGGGCTTTATTTAATTGGAATTTCTTTTATTTTCACTTATTTATTCATTAAAATTATTAACAATAATTAATCCCTAATTTTGGTTGTTATTAATGGAATTAATTAATAAAGAGATGCCAGAGAGAGAGAGGGGGGAGGGAGGGAGGGAGAGAGAGAGAGAGATTTGTAAAAGCTTATAATAAAACATGATGGAAAGGATTATTATATATTGGATCTTTTTGATTATATAAATAATAAATTTTCAAGTCAAAATTAAATGTAGTTATTTCATTTCAAAAGAAAAATTAATTTTATGGCCGAGAATTTTAGTACGTATATAGATGTCGTTATATTATTTATATCAGTATGTTCGTAATAATTAATTATTCATTTATTTAAATACTTGGCTCATTAGAATCTTTAAATAAGTCAGAGAAAAAACTTCATATTCTTGCCTTCTATTTTACAAAGGTGAATGTGATATACAAATGTGTATCAGAATTATTAGGGGGAGGGGAGAGGGTTTCAACAAGCGATACAAAGGACATAGTGTAACAAGGATGTAATGATTCACTGTGTACTCTGTGTCGTTTGCTGAAAAACGCTCATTGTATTGTATATCGCGTGATTGTTAATAGTAATAAACATATAATATAATAACATTATATTATGCTTTGAACGATCGTGTCTGTTATTGATTTTTAAATCTCATTTTATAATTCGTGTATTTGTCGACAGTGCAACGAGGATGATCGACAAAAAGCTAAAGTGCCCATCCGGAATAAAATCGGCTCGGCGAGTTTCGCATTTTATGGCAAGTCAGTCTCTGCTAAATCATCGTCGAGGAAAGAGGAAGAAGGTAAGATAACACAAAACAAAGTAAAATATTTATTGGTGAGGTTAACATTTCAAAGGAGGGAGTTTGAAGGGATACCATCGCGAGTTGCGCAAACATTTCCCGGGGGCACGCGAATGAACATCCGGATATTTAAATACGCGTTGAGTAGAATTATGAATAGAATTATGTGCAAACATGTCTCGATAGCATTGATGTCTAAATATTTGAGAAAAAGGGGTTAGCGCTCTCTCTTTCTCTCTCTTGCTCTTTCCCTCTCTCTCTCGCTCTCTTTCTCTACACCAAAGTATCAATATGTATAGTGGCCTGGAGCTGTGTCGAGTCACCCTGTAGATAGACGTAACGGATCATGAATTATGAATTGCGTTCGCTAGAGGACAGTGTGTATTCTTATTTTCCGATCCTGCCGGCGAAAGGACGAAAGTAAGCTCGATATCGAGAATTAATGAATATTTTGTCGCGATTACTTTTTGCAAATATTTCTCTATGAACAATGATTAAAGATTTCTTTGATTCAAGTTCTTTCTCGAGTTTGAACTTTGAAGATTTAATTGCCAACTATTTTATGCATATATCTCTCTTTCACTGTGATTTTCTCAGATATGATACAATAATAAAAACAGATAGAATCACAATTTTAGTGCGTTGTAAAAAATATGCGAGTAAAAAATTGATGAATATTTTTTTCAATCCTCCAGGTTTAAACACTTATTTAGACATCTGTGACGTTATAATGTGATGTTATATATATTCATGTACTGTAACGAAGTCATCATCAGATTTTAATATTTTAATTGTAAATTTTAGAGACGGATGCGATGTAACATTTTTATTGGATTTTTATTTATTTTTATTTGATTTTATTCGATCAGTATATAAATAATTCCCTCCCTTGAAAATTCCATTAACATATTTTCTCTTCTTAATAAATATTAAAATAAGAAATAAGAAAAATTAAAACTTGAAAATAAATATAACTGTTAAGTTAAATATGAATTAAAATTATTAAATTAAATTAATATAAAATAAGATTATTAAATTAAATATAGAGATTAAGAAATAATAATTATATTAAATTAGTTTTATATTATAATTATGTGTGTTACTCTTTGTAAAATTATAAAATGTTAACAATATTGTGATCATCTTTTCTCAAATTCTTTATAAATTATAATACTTTTTAAAATTATTTTTTAATAAACTGATATATATATATATATATATATATATATATATATATATATATTATAATAATATTACTAAATGTTACAAAATTATTATTTCTATTTATTATTAATAATTATTATTACTAAATTAATTATATTAATATTACTAAATGTGTTAAAATTATTTTTCGTATAAACTGCTATATATACATTATAATAATGTTACTAAATGCTACAATAATATCACAATAATCTAAATGTATTTTTAAAAGTTACGTTAATTTTATCGTTATTTGTTGTCGATAAATTAGTAATGTAACAAAATTTATTTCTGCAGCTATTTGCTACAGATATTTGCTGTTGATATATGATTTTTCTCAAACATTAACTCTTATCAATATTTTTCAATCTTTCTATCATTTAATCTAATTTAATTTATCCAATTTATCAACTGATGTCATTTATTAACTTGCGAGTGCACTCCTCTCTGTTTTAACATTTACTTTATCGATAAGCTTTGAAGATTGTATCAATAGCTAGTAAAATAGAAATTTATTGAGAAAACAATTTTAGTAAATATAAAATTCTGGAATTTCTGATAAATCCAATTTATATTATTGTGATATGTATATGCAATTTATTTATCTTTTAAATGATTTAATTTAAAAATGTAACAAAATTCTCAGTTTTATTTCAAAGGTAATAGATAATTCAATCAATTTTAATTAATTGCAATTAATTAAGAATTAATTAAATTAAGTTTATAATTATTAATGCTGCATTTATTAAATTTTTCATATATTATATGGTGTTATGAATGTTACCAATAATTTCATATGTTGTTTTTTGATCTATTCTAATACATATTATTTTTTTATTTATCAATAAATAAATAAATAAATAAATAAAAAAATTATATATATATATATATTTGTTTATTTATTTATTTATTGATAAATAGAAAGTAATATATATCGGAATAGATCAAAAAGCAACATATAAAATTATTGATAAAATTAAAAATAACACCATATAATATTTGGCAAAAATTTAGTAAATGCAGTATTAATAATTATAAACTTAATTTAATTAATTGTTGGTTAATTGCAATTAATTAAAATTGATTGAATTATCTATTAAAATTATACATCTCAAGCAAAATTACAATGTAAAATAAAAGGCAATTTTATTAAATATAAGAGTTATTTGACGTTGGTAGAATTATATCGACAGAATTCTATGTTATCTGTCGCTTCTGCGATCCATTTTAAAGTATCGATCGCGAGAGGGCACTCAATGTCGCGTCCCTCGTCCACGATAGCGGGCGCAGGAGCACGATGGTCGTCTTCCGGGTTGCCGTTTGGCAGGAGTTCAGTCGGTGCCGGTCGGTCCCGAGAACCGTTCACGTCTGGACATCCTGCGGGGCGCAAAATCTAAGATGGCAACAGATATGTACATTTGATAGGACGGTCCATTCGATCAGGAAGAAAGCCGATTCAGTCTTAACGTAACGCGCGATAATGAGCGAGTGAAAATAGAAAGAAAAAAAAGAGAGAAAGAAAGAAAGAGAAAGAGAGAGAGAGAGAGAGGATCGCGATGAACGAATAAGTACAGGTGCAACATCATCAATCGCGCATTATCCGAGTGGGAGGGAGGGGGGGAGGTGCGATATTACCCTCTTTTTGGCACGCATAATCGTCGAGAAGAGACCGGATCGAGAGTGGACTGCTAGTCGTGCTGCTACGGAAGTTAGGAGCTCTAGACGACATGCCCGTGACGAATCGCAACGGAAGATAAAAGGTGAGCGGTGTTAATTTCGGTTGCTGCTTATCAGAGGACAATTTTATTAAGAATTTTTGGAAAATCTTAATTAATTTCGTGAGAATTATTTTAGTTGCGAGCGTTGCCAAAGAAAATTTGTCGATTACGCTTGTGATGCTAATATAAGATTATTTAGGCTACAAAAAAAGGGATACGAGAATAAGAAAACGGAGAGATAAATTAAGAGATAAGAAGCTTATTGATATTAAATCTTAATGATATTATTCGCGGAATGATTATTTCTTGTTTGAGTGACAATATTAATTTTAAAGTGTTCGTTTTAATTGTCTTGAAATCAATGTAAAGCATTTCACATTGACGTTTGGAAATATTGAGACAAATGTGAAATCTGTAGAAACTTTTATAATTAACAGCTCGAATCTAGTAATCAATCGGTAATGGGAAAAATTTGATTTAATAAAAAAATGTAATTATAATAATTATAATTAATAAAATAATTTGTAAACTGAAAATTAGATTAATCAAATAATAAAAATATAATAAGGAATGAAAGAAATCATAGAAATATTAAAGACAATTGCCAGGATAGAAAAAAAAGTTTGTATCGAATAAAGAAACAATGAAGGAGAGAAAAGGACAAAAGTTTCAAGAATTGCTTTTAGTTAATTTTAACTTTTGGTATGAATAGAGAAACGAAAGGAATATTTTCCTTGGTAAGCTTGAGGCAGAATAAGTTCTTGGAATTGAAAATAGTTGTTTCCCGCGATTCGCGTTAATAGAAGACAAGATTTTTATTCGGGTTGAAATTAATATTTCTTGGAAATATAATACATGTGCGAACAGTTACATATTCGCACAATTATATATTTTAGAATTTATTATATAATAATTTATATTATTATATAATGTATCCTAAATACAATACCATTTCACTTAAAAAAACTTATTATTTAATATTAATATTAATATAAAATTATATAATAATAGGCGAGAATGAAAATTATTATTACATATTAATGAAAAAAAGAGATTATAACGATAATTAATATATATCTTTGTTTCGTGCGATTTTAATCAATGCTTATTTATGAAAGTTGAAAATAGTCGAGAATTTATACATAGTGGTTTTAAAACTTTCGTGAAAAGAAAGTTACACGCACATATATGTTAGAAAAATAATTAAAATAATATAACATATGACATGTTTCATAATTATATTTGTATATATAATATATGCAAATATGTATTTATATATAATGCATACAATGTTTGCGAAATAATAAAAAAAAGTTTAGTTCAGTTTAATTACAATTTTTTTACGACGCGTTTTTTTTCGTCATAAATACGTGACGACGCATCGCAAAAATGCATGGAATTTATAGTGAAAGATATAGAAATTGCATAGTTGTATACATATATATCTCATATATATATATTTATAACATCATATTTGACAATAAGCAATTTGCTTTGAGATGGAATGATTCTGCTACATTTTGTAATTTATGTGAAGGAGCATAACGCGATGCTGTAGCAGGACAATGGTAGGTATTTTGCATAAGAATAGCCCATATCGCGAAAGATCGTTTATTACGAGCTTGCCGAAATGGCGGCACGGAATTCTGGCGAGTTCTGTTTACAACCCCTAACGTTTAAGTCGAGCCTTCCATAGTTCTACATATCAGGCCGAGAGTTTCCGCGCTGAAGAGGAAAGGGTTGAAGGGGATCAGCATAAATTTCACGATTTATTGATCCTCGCAAGGTGCCTAGTATTATCAAGTTTGGCTCAGCGACGCGCTCGGGGCTCAGTCTTGCCTGATTTATCAGCATGGTCGTTAAGTAAAATCGAATCCGCGTTATCCCACGAATGTGCAAGATTCTCAATAATGCCGCAAAAATTATTTTAAAAAATCCAATTAATTTTCCAATGATAAAATATCGGCATTCGTCCTCCGCTCGGACAATATTAATCTCTCCTTTCCACGATAACTATCTCGCTCGTAGCAATTACGCATAAATGAATTTAACTCGCGGAGCAAATATTAATAAGAAGGCAAAAAAATATCTCGTTCTTATGAAATTCGAGTTTGGTCTATGTAGAGATTTAATTAATAATTATTTTATCTATTGTGTATTGCACAATTCGTTCGTCGAACAATATTAATCCCTCACTTCCACGATAACTATCTCGCTCGTAGCATTTACGTATAAATAAATTTAATTCGTGATGCAAATATTAATAATAAGAAAACAAAAACTTCTCGTTTTTATAAAAATTAAATTTGATCGAGTAGAGATTTAATTAATAATTATTCTTTTTTTGCGGAGACTTAATAATTGTTTTGCCTATGTATTGTAATTAATAATTATTTTATTTCTTACAATATATTTTAAAATATTATTATATATACATATCGGATGTTTCACACTGATTACTATACGTATTAATTAATTCATATATTTTTCCTATAGAAATTTAGAAAAAAAAACGATTAAGACAAAAAATAAATCGAGAAAAGTGCGATGATTATCGACAAATCGGTAATCTTACAATCAATAACTCCAAAGTATGAATATTATACTTCATCGATCCTTGGGTGCTTCTCCTTAGTTCGTTTCGTCTTCGGGATTTGGCTGTTCAATTCTAGTTCGCGATCGTAACATAAATTAGACTGTTCGATCGATCGTGCGAAAACTTTCACGCTGCGTGCGACGAGAGGAAATTGTCGGATTCAGCCGGAAATTGCGAAATTCCCGATAGCAACGATCTCCATCTTCTCGATCGCGGTTCTCGTGCGCTGTTCCTAGCCCTACCTTTTCTAGGATGTACGCATCGTAGGATCTCTGTAGCGAGGATTTCATCTCGCGATTACGTCGTCTCGTTTCTCGATCGGTCGACCAGTTTAATGAAGGCCCCCGTTGATACCTTTCACCGAGGTATCGAACCTTCACAGAGCAGTCTCCGTCTCCGATTCCTTATCGGTGCGCCACGAACACGGCAGTAAGATCGTGGCAAGTAGGATTGGAAAATCCTCTTCGCGAAGATAAGTCGAGAAGGAAGAAGAACTTGGGTCGCGTTATAGCCATATAGCCATATAGCTGCTTTTTGATAAGCTTGCTGAGGTCGGGATATTTTTACGACACATTCGAGTGCGAAGGATTCAGTTTCTTTCACGCTTTTCTCACTCTTTGTTAATATATTAAAGATTTACAGCAGCCGTAAGTGAATTAATAAATGAAATATTTCTTTTCACCTCATTTTCTTGTCAATAAAATGAATGATTTTTTACGAACATTCAGAAAATTGCAAATAGACAATTAATTAAATACATTTTTCTACGTTTGCAACATGTATCTACAATCGATTTGTACTATTGTACTCGATGCAAATATATTGGTTTTAATTTCGGTTTAGTGTTTACTGATCTCATCGTGATAGCTAGTATAGCGATCGATCTCTTCACATAAAAAAGTTTTTAAAAAAAATAGTTACTGCAGCAAACAGAAAAAATATGCGCTTCTATACATCACTGAAACCACTGATCATAAAAATAAGTTGTTTGCATGCCTTCTTTTTATTATACCTATGTTCAGCGATCGTTAAATCCCTCTCATATATGACATCAGACTGAGTGTGCTTACTCGTGACTGTTGAAAAGGTCAATATTTCGAATAAGAGCTCCCAGATACCCATATTCCTTTTTTTCTGCGAATAATACAGGCGTACGTAAAAAGAAATATATCTTACTCTTTGAAAGATATATAAGAAAATTAAAATTTAATAAGAAATATATTCTTCAGCTTCTTATAGAAATTGAATTTGATAAAAAATTAATAGCATTATATGTGTGTGAGCACAAATATAACTTAAAGATAAATGGATTTTTTCTTTATTTTCGTAAAATATGAAGAAAAACTGCCTTTTAGCTTTATGGAGGACATCGAAATATAAAAACGTACCATAATTTTCTTTCATATTTAAATTAGTCAAGGGCTTTCAAGCAGAAAAGATGATCAAGATATAAAATACAAATTTAAAAAATTTGTAGAGTCTTTCAGAGTGCATTATAAAGGCATTTTGAATTTAATTATATTGATAAGTAAGTGAAGTGTGCTTCTGCTTTTTCTTTAATAATAAAAAAAAAATAATAAAAATATATAAAAAAATTTTTTAGAAAATAATTTATTAGAAAAAGTTTTTCCTTTTCGCGCGCTCTCTTTTTCCTTTCAAATATTATTTCATGCATTCTGTTATCATGATTATTCATCGCATGTAATACGCAGTCAACTTTTGGTTCAATGCAGTTCGTTACGAGCGAGGGCGGAGATGGTATACCAATAAGTTTTCGACACGAAATTGAAATCCCGCGACCTGCGAGCGTAAACTCGTTACTTATTCGTTCCGAAGCCGTAATAGCGTTGCGAAACTTTCAATCCGAATGGCATGCTATATCCTCGATCGTTTAGCGTGCAAGCGCGCTGGGCCCTATCAGTGTTCGTTTCCCCAGTGGCCTGAAACTTAGGATCGTCGCATCGCTATATCGCAATAGAATTTCTATCCTTTAATTTGCATTCTAATTATATTATTATGGAAATCACATAAAGAAAAATAAACAAGCCTGCACAATTAACTGTAATTTTACGCATATTTTTCTTTAATCTCTAAAATTTCCTATCTCTTTCTCTTTCTTGTATCTTTTACAATATTTTTATATTATGAAATATATATATTTCTGGACAAAATTAACGCATAATTTTTTTCACTTTTTCTTTAAAAACTGATATTTAAATTTTAACGAAAAATTTTAAAGAAAAAGTGAAAAAAATTATACTTATTTATAAATAAGTTATTTATAAATAAGATAATAATTATAGTTATTTTTGTGTATATAGATATATTAAATATTTTATTAGAATGAAAATTTAACACTAAATTATAATATATATTCACGCACAAAAGAATATATAACTATGTTTATATAAATATGTTTATATAAATATAATAATTATATTTATATAAATATAATTTTTACAATTAAGAGATTAATAAGACTTTATGAAAACAAAAATTTGAATTTCGCAGCTGTTAAAAGCCAAATGCAAGATATGTGTCAGTTTCATAAAAAATTAATTTTTCCCTGAAACTAATTAATGTGCGTAGAGCAGAAATTTTTCTCGGTCCACATATTAGATATAAATAAGAAATTTTTAATAAACCCCTTTTTTCTATTTTTCTCGCTTACGCTTCAGGGGAGTTTATTAAAGAGGAATTTAATAAAAATTTCGAATTTTTTTTTTGAGAGAGATTTATTTATAATTAAATTAAATTTTCTGGGATTCTATTAAATTCTATAAATTGTTGTTTTCATTTGTAGATAAAGAATTATATTCTGTCTATATATATATACGTAACATATGAATATAATCAATGATAAAGGAAGCACAATCACGGAATGTTTAACCATCATTTAATGATTTATGATATATTATTATTTAGACATGATTTATCGTCTTTACAAAACGGGAAAAATGTAGAGACCAAGTAGAATTCGCGGTTCATCGCTAATCTTTTCCATCTTGCTTTCTTTTACATTCGCGAAATTATGGATCGCGCTACAAGAAAAATGGAATCACGCGTCTCCGTTTTGTTAACAGAGTCGTTCTCTTCGTCGATAGCACGTGACCGGCATAATACATAGATGTTGCATGTGTTAGCTAGCAATAATGCGAGCATTTCCTTCCAGATGCTCCCGAGATATCCCTTGTACCTCTGTACGTCAATATTTTTAATTATTAAAAAATATCATTATAATTGTATTAATTATATCAGATTGATACACGACTCCGTACTTTGGATGATTGAAAATTACAGTATCCCTTAATTTATCGTGTAATAATTATTATACGCGATATATTCAATAGAATTGTTACAACACAGTATCGCTTCGGCGGCTTGATTCCGTCGCCGGTGCATGTCGATGCATCACTGATGCATCGCCTCACAGTGATACGTGCGTAAATTCGATCCGGCCTGGAAGAGGAGACGACGACACAAAGGCTCGCGAAATTTAAAAATGCGAACGGCGTTCTCTCTGTTCCTATCCTCTTATTCCTTTCCTCACCGACGTGTAATATCTCGCTCGCGAGTGGATATCACGTTTGCTTTAAACGTCGGCTTTACCGTAGTTAGAGGCGGTCGGAGGAGAGTTGCTCGTATCATATTTTTACGAGAGCCTGAACCTTCAAAGGCTCCCGAGCTTTCTTCTTTCGCGGAGATGATGACTGTTGTGTTCGTGCGTGAGGGATAAATCGTGGGGGGCCAACAGTGGCGGTGAAGGATAACAATAACCGTATCTCGTATCCAGACTTTTGAGCCGTGTTCGCGGCATAAAATCCTTCCCGGGAGAAATTTGTAAGGAAATTGGACGCATTTAATGACGCGCGATAAATTCTCATTCCGTGAAATGCGACATTATTGGCTTTTCCCTATGGCAGACAGCAAAATGGCTCCCTTCGGGCCTTCGGCGTATCACTACATGTTGCGAGATTATATCAAGTGATAAATAAACACGTAAATTTGGAATCGAAAATGAGAATAATTTGGAGAAATACATTTATCCAGATGCAATTTGTGTTAATTACTTCTAATGTGACGAGAATAAGACAGCAAATGCTTCTTACACAGTGAAAAATGTATACTGTATTCAAGTAAATATTATTTATTTTAAGTATACCATAAGTTTATATATTCGCAAATATATTACAAGTTTACCACAAGCATTAAATTTAATGGAATATATTCTGAATTTTAGTAAGTGCAATATTTTAATCAAGAATATTAAATTAACAAAATTTGTTTACTAGAGTTGACGTAAAGTAAGTTTGATTTTTCTTTGACTACTTTACAATATTCTTGAAGAGAAAATAAATTCTTCTTTTGAATACATGATAATGAGATTTTCTAACACCTGTGATGAGTATATTTTAAGACTATTATCAAGAATATATTCTTTGTTGAAGAAGACTATTATTTAAAAAAAGAAAAATAAACTGAGTAATTGCTTTTCTTAGCAATAGAATGATATTTTTCTCTGTGTATAATTAATATATTTATTTATATATAGAATTGATTGAAACATCTTTCCTACAGAGGTCTTCTTTAGAAAATTGACCTTGATATAAAAATAATACAATATTAATGTTTGATACATTAAATATATATTAAAAATATTAATAATCTCTATACTTTTATTAAAACATTTTTGTATAATAATAGTTTGAATATTTAAATGTTATTTTGTTATATTATTTACAAATAATATTTCATACATATAAATTTATGATATATGATGATGGATTATTCGAATATTATTACGTTAATATAAATCAGTACTTATCAGAAAGTATCAATTTGGAAAATTATTAATCTAATAAATAAAGACCCGTAAAATCTCTCTGCCCTAATTGAATTGAATTATAATATTATATGATATTTCATTACAAGAGATGTATAGTGTTTAACAATTGTAACTATTAAATACAAGTATAAATTTATGAATATTGCTCTGCTCACGTTCTATAATATCAGATACATCGAATATGTTATTTTATCCGTCTACAAACTGTATTTGTAAACTCAATGCAACGTTCGATACATACATTGAACACGTGTACTCACAGTGTTTTTTTGCAATCGCAAAACGATCGCAATTTCATATCGCGCAGTCGGTATCTCATTTGCCTTTTGCGACAGGCTTTATATATGTATATCAGTGCGGAAAACAGGGACCGTATTTACAGGAGGGAATAAAAAGAACCGTCACTACCACAAGTAGCTAGATGCACTCGTACAGATATACTCATTTTACGTTCACAGAGAACGAATGTAGTCAAATAACGAAATATTTTGCAATTGAGTTTCAGGTGGGACCTAAGGAACGAGCATCTCATCCTAAAGGGAGCAGCGGGAGAAGAAAATATGGGAAAAGGGGACAAGAGAGGCATCGCGCAGCGCAGTGATGGTGGTGAGTCTGTTTTATTATTGAACAATCTTAAAACGCGTGAATGAATAATAAGAGAAGAAACAGGATGTATGATACATCTGTAAGAAATTACATATTTTTCGTGATATTCGTAATGTGTAAAATTATATTAAATTGTATTAAACTTATGAGAGAAATTCTATTAAAATTATAAAATTCTATTAAAATTATAAAATTATAAATATTAAAATTATAAAATTATATTATATAATAATAATTTTGAATAATTATTTATCGATTAAAAGATGATAAAGACTCAAAAGAAGTCTAGTGATTTAGAAATTAATTAAAAGATGAATGACTTTTTTAAATATTTTCTGAAATTTTTCATTTTTTAAGAGAAATGAAAACAAAGATATTTAGAAAATGTTTACATTAGTAAGCTTTGATTAAAAAGATATAAGGATAAAATCTATGAATGTTAGAACGTTACTCATATTTGATTGTTAATTTCTACTTCCGAGCTTTACATATTTTACATTATTGCACGAATTTTGCAAAACTTACAACTTTTTTATAACCGAACGATTTTGAAATAGAATTTTAAAACAAGACGACATTATTTCGCGTACCTTTATAAATGTTATAATTGCTCATGTATTATACAGACGAGAATATTACTAGAATATATATTTGCCTTCTTTGCGGCTAAGGTATTCTTTCCGTGAATCAATATCTCTTTTTTCTTCTCTTTCTCGCTCTCGCAAGAACGAGATTTACGCGGTGCGCTTAAAACGACCATTTTCTCTGCCCTTTCGCCTGAAAATCGTTTGCTTCGCCCATTTCCGGCGGCGACTCGTGACGTACACGCTTTACGCTCAAGATTGCGATCAAAGGAGGGAACCGCGGACCGGAAACCCGCTGCCACGCACGCAAAACGACCGGGGAACGTTTGCCTGTCGATCGAGGTAGTTGGAAGGTGACGTTGAACGATCGGAATTTCGATACGCGAATATCTCGAGGCCCGCACGTTATCGACGTTATTTCTCGAGGGAAAGGAATAGCACATGTCTCTGTGCGTGTGTAAGAGAAATTGAATCGCAGGAGGAACAGGGCGAGGAGACCGCACACTGTGTATATTTGCGCTTCCACCCTTATTTTCCTCTTCCTTCTCGGTACGAAGACGACGAAGACGAAGACGACGACGACTGCCGTCTCTCCTTGCACTGTTTCCTATCGTTATTTGCTCGTTGCGTATTTGCGATTAGGGGATACCTCGATATCGCGTGAGAGTGCTTGCCCTCTCGATTGTGCACACACTCGCGACATTGATGCATCCCTCGGATTGCAGTTCAGTCGCGTTTTCACTTCAGCGCTCGATATTGCGGATAAGTTGTTTGCGTTGAAAAATGTTCGAAAAGTATAGTCAAAATAAATTATTAGATAATTTGAAGGATTAATAAAAAAGTAAGACTTATAAATATATACATATTTTGAAGTGAAAATTAATGTGTCTTGTTGTAGACAAGAATATAAACCAGAGAAACAATAAAATATATATCGAAATCCTCGATTCGAATCGAGGAAATCTGCTCGAATAGTCGCAGATGTGCGTTCGCGAACAATAATGTATGGTAGATTCCAGCGCAGTTTTACATACGAGAGAATCTCGAACGCTTTCTGGCGATATTCAATTTTGTTCATATTCTACGAATGAAAAGGTTGAGGATGACGTGCATCTCTCTCTCTCTTTCTCTGTCTGCATCTTATGAGTTCAATAATAGTGTCAAAGTAAACTGACATGTGATGTATTAATCGAAATCAGATTAATACCTTATTAACAAATATATACTGGGTAAATAAATTAATAAAATAAATTAACTAATAAATAATAATTAAAATATTTTGACTTTTGTATTTGATATAAAGAAGAATATATTTATAAACGATGATGTACTTGTTTCTTATCTTTTAAATTATTAATATATATTTATGCAGACATGGAAGAAAATTTAATATTTTTCGCGATACAGAAGAAACGACTTAATTCGAATTAATTTTGAAGACAGTGTGCATACAATTCTTGAAATTCCAATCGCGAATCAAGAAAACCGTTCACAAAACTCGACGCGTTAGATAGTTCTTTTAGGGGAACAATACGAGCGCGGTTTAACAAAAGCAACCTACCGACACAAAGCTGGCACGTGTTGGTGAACCGTTTGTCACTTCAGGTGCATACCTCCCTGTTGCAGGGCATCGCGCGAGTTATCTATTTGCTCGTGGATGCATCAGACCGACGACGAACGCGCTTGTGTTTGCAAAGTTGAAACAAGAAGATGAGAAATGTGATTACAGGAGAAAAGGAAATAGAGAGCTTTTTCACACCTTCAATGAAAAGATACTGTTGCGTTCGCTCGATTATTTCTTTTTACAAAATTAATAACCAGAATAACATCTCTTAATCATAGTAATTATTTTACGTAATATAATATTATGTCATATAATAAGTTTTTTCTATTAATTTAATCTAACAACTTAATATTTTAAATTTAATATTATTGCTCATGAAAAATCAGAGAAAGAAGAAAATTAATTTATTTAATAAAATGATTTTCTATTTTTCACTATTTTTTTTTAAATTGATTTTTCGTAGACTATCATATTAAATCTAAAATATTAAGCTGTTAGATTAAATTAATAGAAGAAGCTTACTTAATAAAATTGATGAAAATTTAGTACCGTCTGTCTCATAAAGAATTCCAACGAACCTTGAAAGATTAAACGAGAATTTCATTGCTCATCTGTTTTCCATAGTTTCCGAGAAGGCAGCTTGTAACTTTGGAAAAGTGTAATTATTCTATATAAATATCTAGGAAATTAAAATTTTTCCAGAAAATTGAAATATATATGACAATATTTTACAAAAATTTCTGCGATAAGATATCTCTATTAAACCGCGTAATTATATCTCTTACAGTAATGTAACATCAAAGGGGATTATATTAATATGAAAAGAGATCTTTTGTGAATTAAAGACATCGTAAATCCTTCTGACGAAAGCCCGGTGTGTCTTTAATGGAAACGTCGCGAATCGTATTATAGTCGAGTTTTATGAATTGTATTATCTTGCTGCGTTCTACAAAGCAGACTGAACAGGAAGAAGGCAGGCGAAAAAATATAAGAATAGGGCAGCTTGAGGAAAGCGCATCTTGAATACGTATCGAGATAGAGAGATGTCGCGAGGAGACAATAGCCTTGGGGATGATCTTTGAGGGTGCTGGATGTGCACCTGTCGTCGACACGCTGTCGACAGTCTGTTATTGGGGTTTATGTGTACGTGCAAGGAAACTTCAGACATAAGATATTCTCTCTCCCCCCCCCTCTCTCTCTCTCTCTGCTTCTCTCTCTCTCTCTCTCTCTCTCTCTCTCTGTTTCTATTTCACACAAGTGATCTGTGTTATATATCATGGAACAAGTTTGTATCATTATACGTCATGAAGAGAAATACTTTATTTTCAAATTGATGTCTGACGTATTTTTATTACATATTTATTTTATTACATAAATAATAAAATAAAATATGTATTTTATCATATTTATTTTATTGTATGAATATAATATATAACTCTATATTTATGTCTTTTTTATACAAATATTTATATCAGCGATTTATTATAATTCGCGATGAGACAACTCGTATTTGCTTTCTTTTGTTTTCATTTTTATCAAATATTATTTATTTAAAATTTTTAATTTATAAATCGCTTTACGATTGATGGTGTTAAAAATATTCACATACTCCGCGTATAAAGGATATGAGAAGATAATAATAATAATATGGCGATAAAAATTACTTTTTGTTAAATAGTTAATTTGTTAAATAGTTTTGTTAAATAGTTTTTTTCAACCTTTTGTTAAATAGTTATAAAATTACTTTTTGTTAAAAATAATGGTTATTTTAAATTTAAAAATTACAGTATGACATGATATGCAATAAACACACAACACATATTATTATATTACAAGAAAGAGAGAGAGAGGCTTTACATTATTACTTACTATTGTACTTACGTTTGCGAATTATATATATATGTCATACGATGTTACATAAACTGTCGTTATAATGATTGCTCGAATGTTGACGAAGGAAGTATAATACTATAGAAGAAAAATGAAACACGGGAACAATACCAGTTTACCTTGACCGCGTTGTTAAATGATTAGATGCGCCACCGTGATTAGCATAATTCGCGTACGAGTGTTAAAAGAAGTGCGCGTGTCGAGCGATGAAAGAGTTTTCAAATACAAACTATTACGATATTTTTCTTTGAATAGAAATAAAACAGTCAATTAATACAAGTATGAATTTATTTAAAAAATATAAATCTGCAAGAGAAAGCAATGCTATGACTAATTAACGAAAATTATTGGGGCGTATTAATTGATTAACGGATTTTGATCGTTAATAGGCAATATTGATAAATAATATAGGCAATATTGGTAAAAATGATTACTAAAATTGTTTGATAAACATCCGGATGCAAAGCGACGTTTTCAATTTTCGTCGAAGTAATTCTGCGCCGATGCATCGAGCGACACGTAATGCATTATCCAAAGTGGTTGCTCGCGTCAATAGTCGACTACGTATGTACGTATTTGCTTTTGCCTTACCACGTGTCGAGATGCGATGCGAGGTGGCACCTTCAAATTCACAATGCGATTGATTGAACGCGGGAAACGTTGGCTCTTAAACGTTGAATAGCTTCGTTATCGGACGCAATAGGCAAAACGCCGAGAACAAAAGAAATGGAAAGAAATACGATATAATGGATAGATAAATATAACATGGCTGGAAGAGCTCATCGCGACTTATCAATGATTATCGTAAATGGGAATTATTAGCTAAAAACCTCTTTGTCTTTCTCTCTTTCTTTCTTTCTCTTTCCTTTCCTCTCTCTTTGTCTCTTTTTTTCGGGGGCATCTCAAATGTGTCATGCATTCTTCTCTTTCAAAGTTTTCAATTATACACACGAAGTATCTTATTATTAGCAGAAATATTTTAATTACGCTTTGAAGAATTTGTGCAGAGTTTTCTCTCGGCAAAAATTTGCCGCGAGTTTTTATAACATTCTAATTTTCAATATTACAATAGATTTCATCGCAGCTATAGTTGAAATTTTATCAAAATAACGATTAAAATATCTTTTAATTAAATAGAGACTTGAAATATTTTATTTCTTCTGAAATTAGAGTTTTTCGAAATTCGATTCAAGCTAAAAGATAAGTTGTCAATATATTATATAATAGATATCAAGTTTAATTTTTTAATTTATTATCAATATTACGCAATATTTTACGTAATCCTTGCCACAACATTAAATGTCGAAAGAGAACAGTAAGAATTTTTAAGGGATTAAAAATATTACTCGCACGTGTAATTTTTCTATATGTCATGTTTTTACGAAAGGGCGTGAAAACATGTCATTCGCTGCGAACTGATCAAATTTTGCATCCGTAATGAAATTTCGTCGCGCGATGCGAAAATATAAATAGATAGCTAAATAGATAAATAAATAGATAGAAATATTTTGGGTTATATAGATTCAGATAACTTTATTGCTTTCTCTCTGCATACGTTACATAAATATTCATCCGATTACAGCATACTTAGAGCCTATTTCTTATATCACATTTGGAAAAGCTGCAAAGGTATAATGCTCTTGCCTCTCGGCTACATACAAAAAATTTACAATAATTAAGCGCGCATTCGCTTTCGCACGCTATGTCCGCGCATGCAAATGCGGTGACAAACGAGATGTCATGTTTTCTTTCCTTGTTCATTATTTATGGTTATACGTAATTTTACATGCTAGGCTATCGGTCATTATTAAAGACTAATTGATTAACATTATTATTAATTTATAAGACACGTTATCGATTTCTAATGTTATATAAGATAAATACTGTGCTTGTTACATTTTAAAAGTTGAAGTTTTTCTCTTAGGCTACGTAAACACATGTATAACTAGTATGTATAAATGTCTATCTATGTATAAATGTGCACTATCAATCGAATAAGCGGGTAGAAAAATACCATATTTAGTTCGCGATTATTCTAACAAAATAATTGTTTTCTTTAGATAATATATATATTAAAAAATATACGTTATTGTATAAAATCTTCATTATATTAATGTTACATAATAACTCATGTCAAAGATAGTGTAATGAGTTTTATTTAACTTATTAATTACAACCTCTTTATCTTTAGCTTAACTTTTTTCAAAATATGTTTTATGAATATTCATTTTTTTAGAAATGAGAATTTTTGTAGATATTCGATAATTATAAATAATTGTGTCGCTGGATATATAATAGAAGATCGATATAAATAAATGTATGGATTGATATAGTTTAAAATTAAAATTTTCATATTTATATTCATGTGAAATTCCACGTTTTAATATTTATGAATATTTTTCAGCATTTATATTTACGTTAAATATAGAAAAAGAAAATATATCTCAAAAATTATATTTAACTTTATTATGAGTATGTTTTGACATATTTTATTTAATTCAATAGTATCTTGTTTCCATTACAATTTATATTGTTAAGAAACACTGTATTATTTATTCCAAATCATAAGAATTTATTATTTCTATGTAATTTCTGGCTTATATATTGCTTAATCTAAAAATTATCACTGATATCGCGATGTGAGTATCAAGATTTTTCGTTCCATAAATCTAAGTCTGCTTACTGAGCTCTTTCATCCAGCAACACAAATATTTGTACAGAGCAGATAGAAGTCACACAAATTGATTTGCAGTAACTCGAAACTTGCTATTCTGTCTTCTGTTAATTTTGAAGAGAGAATTTCTCCCTTTCGTTCTCTTTTTTTTCCTACCTAATTGGTATTTTTCTCTCGGAGAACAAAGAACGAATCTTATTACGAATGTTATTGATTTGACGCGTTATAGAACTTCACGACTTCTGCTCGGGCAGCATTCACAATGCTACCTCTGCAAGGGTTAGGATCCCAATTAACTCCAGGACAACCCATCGATTCGAAACACTTTACGAGACGATTGTTATTGGGCGAACAACATTGAACAATTGCCCAGATACATGGTCCGGGTGTCCGTGGGGGTGGCCGCGAAGTCGGGGGGGCGGGGAAGTTTGACGCTTGTATGCCCTCGCGGTGTGGATTAATCCCCTGAAAACAATTTATCAAATTTATCAAATTTAAATTTTTTATCAAATTTTCCTCATCTCATTTCAACGGACATAATTACGGTGATAAATAAAAGTCTCTAAACATATTTATAAAAATTTTCTAAAGAGAGAGATGCATAAAGTAAAACGGGACAATATTATTTGTATGCGATACAATTTTGCGACAAGCTTTTTCATCTTTAGTTAACATTATATGTACATACATCGTATGACTAATTTATTCTTCAATCGTATCGTCGTTTACGGTGAAAATATTATAAGAAGGAAGAAACGACGATTGCGTTGCTCGACATTCGGTCAATTAAGCGGGACAAAGCGGCGCGTTGGGGGATTCATCGAGGGGGTCCACGGAATCTACCGCAACTTGCCGGTATGGTTTAATGAAGCATGCTTCGGTTCGGTAACGAGACAATCGGCGGCGACCACGAAATCGGATTCGCAGCAGCCGCGTTGGATCGGGTTCGCGCGATCCAAGTAAAGTGCTTTGGCAGGAACAAATGGGAAGGACTCACCGTGAAATCGATCTCGTTGTTGAAGCCGGCCCTCGATATCACTCCCGGGGAGACCAAGGGACTGGGGGGACGGGTTACAATTATCCTTGCGCTCACCGGCAGGGAGTTGAGTCTGACTAGTTCCCGCCGTCTCCACTGGCTGGTCTCCTTCGGCTTGTACTCCCTCATTCTGTGGCAGGTGGAAATACGGTCGCATTCATCGCGCGAGCGTTCCAAATTAGTAAATTCTCTCGTCCCGATCATACGCTCGGGGCGTTAATCAAAGCCGCGCGCAATTTGACGTATTATGCGGTCATTGCCATTTTGGATTTTACGCGATTGAAGAGGTATCTCGAATTGCGCGAGCGAAATTTATTCGATTCAATCAACGGAAACGCGATTTTAATCGCTTTTCATTTCGGAGATATATATTAATAACAACAAAAACATAGTTATATAAAGTAAAATGTTAATATAATAAAATAATACAATAAAATAATATAACGGAATAAAAAAGGACGAAACATACATATGAAAAATCTAATCTATCGTACTAATTAATTTATATTTTTTCGATGTTATTTATATGTACGAATTTTATCATTTATATATTTTTATATATTAATTTTATCATTTGTATATTTTTATATATTTTATATATTTTTATACAAAAGCATATTTTACACGATTTATAATCCGCGAAAAATTACATTTATATATGGTATATATATTTTAATTAGAAAAGAACATCTTTAGAATAAGATGTCCTTTCGTCTAGATATCCTTTTGTATTTTTGATATGAAAAATTACAAATAGAGTTTTTTGTCTTAGTTTCCGTTTCGCTTTGTTCGTTTAATTTCATAAATTCAAATGGATTTAAGTACCAAAGCTTTATACTCACCAACTCCATCACGATAATACAACTCCAGTAACAAGAAAACAAAAGTGGAGTAAAAACAAACGGGCGAACAGACGGACAGACAATCATAGTGAACACTAATAAGCGTAGGGCAAATAAAGTTCACTGGTAATGCGCCAGGAAACTGGGTTTTTGCAAAACATCGTATTCCCAAGAGGATTCTTACGTACCTGCTCTCATCCTGTCGTCGTCTTTCGGCCTCCAGCCTTCGCCTTTCGCGTTCCGCAGCCACCCTCCTGGCCCCTTCATCTCGTACGAAATTGCTCGGAATCGGTAGACTATCCTGCCGTTTTCTGTGTTCCACCAAAAGACGACCCTGGTAGTAGCTCGGCCTCGTGGCTTCCGGCTGTCTGGTTCTCCCAGCTTCGCTTACAGACCGTTCTTTCAGCATCTCCTGTCTCCTCCTCTCGGCCTGCAACTTGGTCGCCTCCAGCCGCTTCCTATCCTCCTCGTATCGTCTGGATTGCACTTTTCTCGCCTCCTCCTCTCGTCTAACCGCCTCCTGTCGCCGCATCCGTTCCTCTCGCAGTCGCCTCTCCTCCTCTTCTCGCTGTCGCTTGGCAAGTTCCTTCCGCCGCTCTTCCGCCTCGTACCTCTGCCGTCTCGCCTCCTTCAACCTTCTCTCCGTCTCCTGCTGCCTCCGCCTGAGTTCCTCCGGCGAGGTTCGCCGATCGATATTGTACGTAGGTGCCGACGGGCCGTGCTGTCTTCTCGCTTTTGAATCGGGGTAGCTGATGGGATCGCGACGCCTAGCTTCCTCGATCAGCCTTCGTTCTTCGAACCAGTTACGATCTGTTACGGCCGATTGATTGCTTCTTGAAGGCACGGTCACCGGCTGGTTCCTCCTGATGTAGTCCTGCAGCTTCCGCTCTTCCTCCTGCCTTCTACGTTGCTCCCTTGTACGAGATTCGTCGTCGTCTCTGCTCGCGTTCATCCGCGGATGTCTGCCTTCTGCGGGTCGATAGCGTCGGTTTTGTTCCTCCGATCTGCGATCGGCACGAGTGGCGTTGATAGGTTGATTTCGCGCGATATATTCCCGTAGCTTCTGCTCCCGTTGTCTCTCCTCTTGTTCCCGCGTGCGTCTTTCTTCATCTCGATCACGCTGTCTGACGTCGTTCGGATGATTGATTCGATGTCCCGTGCGCATTAAATTTGATGGTGGCTGCTGCCGCCTTGTCTCATCCTCTTCCTGCTGTCTCTTCTTCTCCGACCATTCTCTGCGACGTTCCTCTAGTCGTCTTCTATCATCCTCGGCAAGATTTCTCGCGCGGTCTTCTTGACGTCGCCTTTCCTCCTCTTCCTTTCTTTTTAGCGCTTCTTGCTGCGATCTGTACTGTTCTCGCTTCCTGGCTTCTTCTTTCTGCAACTGTCTTTGTCGCTCTTCCTCTCTCCTCCTTGTCTCCTCATCGTGAAATCTTTGTTTTTTCCTTTCATTGCTCACAGGTGTTTCAGATTCCGATCTTCTCGCGTTTTCCTCCCTCCACTTGGTGTTATATGGTCTCTTTTTGGTCTTTTCTTCCTCTTGCAATCGTCGTCTTTGTTCTTCTTTCTCTCTGAATCTCCTCCGTTCTTCCTCATCTTTTTGTCTGGCCATTTCCTGCGTTCGATTGCGCTCCATTTCCTGTCTCTCCTCCATTTGTCGTCGCCTCATCTCCTCGTCGTCCATGCGAGGTGTCGAGGTATGATCCATCCTGTTACGATACTTATCATGTTGCGCCTTTCGCATTTCATCCCTTCTTCTCTCTTCCTCCTCCCATCTATTCAGCGTCTTTCGACCACCCTGTTGCATTCGTCGTTCTTCCTCCTCTCTTCGCTTCTGTTCGAGTAGGTTCTCATACTCCCGTTTGATATTATCGATGTCGGGATTTATTCCACGATGCTGGTCACGTCGTCTGGATACATCTTGATGGTATCGCATCTCGTGCTGCCTGCGACGCTCATTCACGGTCTGTAATTCGTCGCTGGATACGACACCTTCGTTCTCGCCGAAACCCCAATTGGTCGACCGTCTCGCAAGTTTTCGCCCGCTCTTCTCCCCCGCAAATCCCTCGGTATTTGCCTCGGCGAGCCACAGTAACCGTCGATTCCTGGTAACGTCGTTCGATAAAATGAGCGCTCGCTTCGCTTTAGTTCCCTTTTTCATTTCAGGATCTGTCGATTTTTCTGACTTTTCTCGATCGATTTCGAGTCCGCCGGATTTTCGTGGAATGGATTCCCCCAAATCCCCTCGAATCGGTAACTTTTCCGACCGCCTAGACTCGTCCAGATGATCGGAATTTAGATGGCTAGCATCCATGTCGCCCCTGTTCGGCTTATTCTTCTTTGTAACGGTCTCTAATTTCTTTAACTTGAATAACTCGTCCATCTCTTCGTAGTTTTCCTCATCGTACGACGGATTGTAGTCGAGATCGAGAGATATTGGCATTACGTCCAGCAGCACGGACGCCGGTGCCACCCCCTCCTGCTTGTCGGGCGTATCTATCGATCTTTTCGCCTTGTGGGACGATGGCGACGCTTCTAGACCTTCGCATCCAACCTGTAGCTCCGGCACACCACCGACGCCGAAAGCGTCTCTGTTGACCGAAGGTGTCTCGGTTCGTTGCTCCTCGAAAAAGTTGGATTGCTTGTGATGAACCTTCGGGTCTATTGTCGTCGACTTGATTTCCGTTATTTTCGTCTTTAAATTCAAGTGACTAGTTTTCTTGGGAGCTTTGCTCTTGTTTTTTGACGGGAAATTCGTGGGGGGCGTGGTTGCGGTAAGCAGAGTCTTCTCTTTGGACAGGTCCAGCTTGTATATTTCCATCGAACCCGGGCCTTGATCCTGGAACGTGTCGTCGGCCACAAAGGGGTCGTCCAAGAGGTCTGAACGAGGTACCATCGTTTCACGCGAAAGCGTCTCCGGCATGTCGTAGCCGTAATCGACTTTGTCGGCTGCGAATTCCGTGGTGGCGATATTTGACAACCGCTTCTGCCAGCTTGAAAGGGAGTAGACTCGCTTTGAGACAATGTCCTTCAGAGGCTTCTCAAGCGAAAAATTTTGTTCGGCAAACTTGGCATTGTGACGTAGAGCTTTTAATTCTAAAAAACACAATTGTAGCAGTTTTAAATGAAATAGACTGAAAAAGATAATTGCTTACTTTGGAATAAATGGGCATAATAAATTTTCAACTTTAATGAACCGTTCGTGAATATATATTTAAATGATTAATGATATTGTACTTTTAATCGTTCATTGTTAAAATATTAAACACACACACACACACACACACACACACACAAGATTTTTCATATAAATATAATTAATTATTAACATATAATTCAATAACATTCATAAATTATTATGTTTCTCGATTGCGATATAAGATTACTATATTGAAAAGTGTCGTTTTTCAAACTTTGATTAAACATTTTTTTTTCATATAAGAAAAAACTTCGAAAGATATCCCCGATCCTTTAGGGAAAAGTTTAACTTTTCCGAGTCCGAACCTTTTTGATCTGCAAATAGCTATACATAGTACATGAGGAATGTAATATTTTATGGCGCAAAACTTTACGAGATATGCGCAAAGCGAATAATTGCATAGGAAGTTACGTAATTTTCGTATCTGATTTAAGAAGTTCAAAATGACATCGATGCAAGTTCCTACTTGAAATTGGATGCTCTTGAGTAAAATTTATGTAAACGCAAATTATTGTATATATCCGGAAAAACAAATTATTTTTATGAACAAACATTTTAATAAAGATTTAATTTCGAGATTTAATGTATGGACGAGAGAGAGATTCTTCAAAAGATATTTAATAACGATTTTATGCTTGGTTAGAACTAATGTAGTTGCATACTATAGTGACGTGAGTAATGCGACGCCAATTTACTCTGAAATTCTTGCGTGCCGTTATAACGTTAAATTTATATATGTGTGTGTGTGTGTGTGTGTATGTTGTTTGAAAGATATAAATTTTTCTCTTAAATAATAATAATTATTATATTTTTTTCCATATTTGCAACGTGTACAAAAAATTTAACTATTATTACTTATTTTTAAACTTATATTATATGTATATTTTATAATTTTAATCAAAAATATTCTATTTACCCTTCTTTCTAATTAATTTTTTAATCTCGAAAGTCATATTTCTCTCTAGAATTACCGCTATATTAATAATGTAATGCATTAAAAAAAAACTGTTCTCACATGTTTCCGATTTATAAAAATATACCAGCAGAAAAATGCATACCGAGTCGTATCTTACGTGAAATAAAAATGGAATAATAAAATTATGAAATAATAGAATGGAATAATAAAATTTGGAATTAAATGTAAATGTTGAAAAATTCGAGCGTCTGACAAATGCAGTATTTATTCGATATCGAAATTACACGAAGATGATGATTAAGGAGATCTTAATTAATCAGAAAAGTCTGGGAAAAGAGGTAGTCGGGATGAACGGATTTCCATCGGTTAGGTCGAACGCGTTTCGACGCGACGCGTATATTTCGTCTCTATTAGACGACGGTTCGACAAAATTAAATCTCTGATCGTAGTTGAACCTAGATAAACTAGAGCATTATATATCTGCCTAGTAGTAGGTAGAAAATGCCAAGTGCAACACTAAATATAAATAATAAAATATTGGAAGCATATTTCTCTATTTGGCATTGCTTATATGTCAGATACTTTATTGAAAACAATATATTTAATAATTAAATTAAAATATTTAATTATATAGAAAATATTGCTATATAGATAAATATTATTTCCAGGGAAAATATTTCAGGCTACAGAGAAGCAGTAAATATTAATAAAATAATATTATTATATGAAAATGTGTAAACCTTCGATATTTCCTTAAAATAACGAAGTACGAAGTACAAGCAAATGGAATATTTTGATAAAATAAAATTAACATTTAAAAATAACTTTATTATAATATATATACTTTTCCTACATATTAAATTATATAGAAGAGAAAGAAAAGAAATAAGCAAGGTTTATACTAAGCCTCTCCTGAAATATCCTCAAAATGGTAATCTTGTATTCGGTATAGCTCCTTGAATTAATAGTGGGACCCGATATAGTGCTTTATTCGGCTCAGTGGAACGTAATACTATAAAGTCTGACATACCCTCCGCGGAAATCGACCTTCGCGAGTCGATCCAAAGGTCGAGCGGCTGATCCTCGGCCGGTCCGTGAGCCCTCCAGTCCCTAGTCTGGTCTCGTTGAAGCTCAGCGTAGCGATGCGGGGACGCGGGGGAGTATTGATCGTTGGAGAGGCGGAGGGTGACTGTTCCTCCTACCAGACCCGCCACCGTGAACCAAACCGTGGCCAGAGCCACTGTCACCCGTGGCTGCATCGTCCTGCAATCAAACGAAGGCTTTCCTTCGTTATTCCACCTCAATCGAGCAATCTGACTTACTTGGATGGCGTTAATAGAATCCCTAATTTCTTAAGCCGAATCGAGATTTAGCTCTTATTTACAATCTTTCCAATATTTACGAGTTCTAAAGGATTTCGTAGTTTAATTTATCTGGAAAATTGAGTTCGCGCCCTTCAAATAGACAATAAACACCGAATCAAAATGTAGCTCTTATTTACAATCCTTCCAATATTTATAAATTTTAAAGAATTTCATAGTTTAATTTATGTGAGAGATTAAATTCGTTCTTCAAATAAACGGTTTTTTACTTAGAGATTTCTATTGAAACGAGGCTTTTCGATAGAACTATACGAAATTCTGTATGTTCAGAGATCTAATTAATATGTACTGTTTTTAAAATTTTTAATTATGTGTATTCCGTATTATTGCGTAAAATTTCACAATGATTTCTTATTTATATATAATGTCAAAATTTAAATTAATCCGTATAAAATTATTTTTGATCCACAATGAACCTGTTATTTAAAAGTTAAATTTTTTATTATTCAAGAAAAAAAGATATTAACAATCTTTACATTTATTAATCTTTTATATAATTGTTTATCTGATTTCAATAAATTAATTTAATATTGTAAATTTTTGATGAAAATTGTAGAAAATTTAAATTAATAAAAACAAATATATCATACTTTTAATATTAGCCATGTTTTACAGGCTTTATATTTAACTCGTAACGGAATCATATGTATCACATAGTAACTAAACGAAAGAATTAAAAAACATCAAGAACTAAAAAAACACACGTATAGAGAAAGAAAAAGAGAGAGGAAAGAAGAAAAAAAAACATTATATTAATATTTTTAATTACTGTTAAAATTACTTATTAAAGTATTACAATTTTTTAAATCGAATAATTTGTTTTTTTTTTTCTAAAAATTTGTTTATCAATAATACATATTTTAATACTTTAAAGTTTTCATATTAATTATTTGATGAAAAATTACAAGTAATGATCAAAAAGCAGATGTTAAGTTCTCTCTCTTTTTTTTATAAAGAAGGTTTATACATACATAAATATATATGTAGGAACAAAATTCTACTTTAGTAGAATTTTTGTTTTAAATAGAAGCTGCATATTAAATAATATTGAAAAATATTTCTCTAATATATTAAAAGAGATATTAAATTGAAAATTGAGATAAAAGGAGTAAGAAGCAAATTTCTGTGATTCCGAAAACCTTCAATATATATATCGTGTTTTTTATATGAGAAAAAAAGCTCTTTGATGTAACATAATATAATAAGAGAAAAACCAAGAGAACCCCAAAATTATATCACCGAAAAAAAAAGACGTTAATATTTTAACGTAATAAATTAATATTTTACAAACAATTTTTTTTCTCTCTCTCTCTTTCAATTTATATGTTTATAAATTATCTTTTAAAAGACTTTTCGTAAAATAGATCGAAAAATAGATTATAAAACAAATTTCTTATATCATTCAAGGATCTTATATATCATTCAAAATTAAGCAAACATGCACACGTGAAGCGGCACCACTTTCATAATCGAAATATAACGTATATTCCTTTTTATTCACTATAACAAGCACTTACTCCGCGAATCTTATTCTCAAAAAAGACAATCACAGAGAGTCCGGCTCTTTGACTCTTTGAAAACCTCAAAGTAACTATCTACTCCGCGGATTCCTTCAAAGGATCGCACCATCGCCTTGAAAGATGAAAGCAGGTACGAGACAGCCTATATCAGCCTACCGTGCAACTCTCGAATGACACTCCAAGTAACCCTCTCTCTTCACTTCGATTTTCGGATTCAGCTGTTCCTACACGTGAATCTGCCAGCACTTTGCGAACGACACTTGGAGCGCGCCTCTCTCTCTCTCTCTCTCTCTCTCTCTCTCTTTCATTCAGCGAAACGAGAGAATAAACGAGAGGGACAGGAAGATAGAGAGAGGTTGATACCAACAACGGATCGAGTGATCTTGACACACTGCCCGCGTCAGGCCGAAGTAGCTAAACTTAATATCGTGGTGAAGGAGAAGGCGAAGAAGGCCGCTCGCGTAAATCAACTCTTATATCTGCACGATTCGCCAATTGACTTCCGCCAACTGACGTCACGTTTCTCTTTCTTTCTCTTTCTTTCTCTCCGTCTATCTTTCTTTTCATTCGCCAGCCCAGTTGACGGAAAGATCACTAGTAATTTCGACCAATTGCGATCAAATACCGATGGTGGGTTTCTCCGTTGTTCGCGTGTCAGGCGACAAAGTGACGTCAAAAATCGTCACGAAAGTCTGGGATGTGGCAGATTAATATTTATCATAATTTATAACTTTTGTGACGATGCCAAGGTTTCAATGAAAGATATCACGTGCGGGAAACACAAGAATGAAGTAAGCCCCAGAACGTTTATTTAAACTTCCTACTTTCTGCTGATAATGATATATGAATCACTGAAAATGTAATACGGACTTAAATCATGTCTAAATAAAAATACCAAGAAAAAGAATTTTAAAGGCTTGAATTTTTATTATTACTCAATTTCGTTTATAAAAATTGTTAATGAAAATTGACAACTAAAGAAATTCTTTTAAATATAAAATTTTAAAAATATATATAACTATCATATTTTAAGCGAGATTTTTATTCTTGTGAAACATTGAAATGTTTTCACTTTTATTTGATTATTAAAATCGATAATTTTTTTTGAAGAGAGTGCTTTGTTTAGAAATATAACGAGGGTTTATATTGAACTATTTAGATTTTATCACTGCAGCTAGCTAGTTAGTGCAAGTTATTCTTAGCCACTCATTTAATGTCTATCATCCAAAGGAAGCGCGGTTGATTAGACGCTTTATAGACTCGATATATTCGCATCGTTAGGAAGTCAATTAGAATAATCAAATTTTTTCCTTCTATTCGAAGGTCAACGCTCTCACGCTGCAGTTGTTATTGGAATAACATATATTATTTTTTTTTCTCCTGTCACGCGAATATTTCAAATCGCTTGTGTACCGCAAACATTTTTTTCGGAGATCTTTTTTCCCGATTACATATCGTATCTTGGCGATATAGCTATTAAAGCTAACTTAAGCGAGAGGAATGTGATTTCAAGCAAGTACGCGCGATACATTCTCGAGCACACAAACGAGAAAATATCTGGAGTGGGAGGAGAGGGAGAGCGATGAATAAGAATTTATTTGTCGCCGCAGGCGAATACTTTCGATTTAACGACAGAATGAATTATTCCTGTTGCAAGATATATAATTGTGATATATTATCGTGTGATATATCATAATTTTTCCGATAGGAATAATAATCCGCTGACACGGAGTCGGCAAATATATAATTACAATGTAATGGATATTCGAAGATATCATTGTACATAGGCTTTAATGGAGCCGAGAATTATGCCTTATGTATCAAAGCGTCTCCTAATTGCTAGATATTACAACATAATGGTCGATTGCGCAATTACAGAGAAGTGATTAATTAGTAATAGACCGTGCCTGTAATTAAATGGTCGCAAACTTGCGTTTACCGAGTAAAGCCCGACGTCGTAAACTACAATTACGTTTAGCACGAAAACGGGATACATGACGTAGTCTTATCCAAGTATTTCATTCGCTTACATGTATACATATTCATGCTTGCCGATGGTGATCCACTTGCCTGATTGCATTTAAGCAGGTATTTTTTTAAATTTGCAAGGAAAGTCATGTATGATATATTTCATGTATGATATATTTTTTGTCAGAAATATTTTATTTGATGATTCTTAGGTGAGTGAAAACAATATGAGAGCAATGTCAGATTTTTAAGACTATTTCCAAACATTAACTATCTCGCTAACTCGTTTCAGTAAATACTAAATAATCCTGATTTTAATATAAAAAATAATACATTTAAAATACAGATCTATAGGTCACATTTGACGATAAAAATACGGGATGTAAGTGCGAATTTAAGCGATAAACGATTTATTTCTCCGAGAAAATGGATTTACCATGTTCTTGCCCGGATCCTCAATTATAGAAGATGCTCGCAGGCATAGCGCGAACTTAATTGCATGAATTGTTCTTCAGACAAGCCAGATTTAAGTTCCGCCAATAATCCGCAGACACGCAAGTTTCATTTCTTCTTTCTCGTATCTGATCTTCTATCTATTTCGCCATCTTTCTTCCATTCATCTCGCATGCCTGAGGCAATGGCAGTAATTGGGATAAAGTTTCCTTTCACATATAGTTGTATGAGAAAATGGCTACAGTTGTTTTCCCTCCCTCTCGCAGTCAATGTCAAAAGATTTAAAAAACGAAAAATATATATCAGTACAAAAGTTACAATTTTCCATCGATGTTACGTTGATCTTTTTCACAAATATAGCTATAATTGAATTATCTTATTTTTCGATACATGTAGAAATGCAACATATGAATATCAAAAACTTGTTTTCTATATTTCTTTGCGCTTTTCCGTAGCTTCCTGTTTTCTTATTGCTTACGGAAATGATTTTTATATTTCCTGTCAGTCTTATTATTTCTATTTTTTATTTCACTAAAAAGTATTTATAATTTCAATATGTAAAATATGTACTTTAAAAAGAAAAGAGAGAGAAAGAGAAAGAAAATCTAAGGAGCTATTTTTTTATCTCTTCTTTCTTTTACTTTTTCTTAATAAATTGTGAAAAATTCTGTTTGAATTTCAAGCGTTTGAAAACAGAATCTTTCGATAATAAACGAAGAGGATTTTTTATTTATTTAATCGTTTATAATTTAAAAATTTCTTTCTTAAAAACATCAATGTCAAACTGCCTAATAAACATATCAAAAATCTAAAAATGCATAACATATATTAAATGATTTTTAAAAGGATCTCCATTGAATTTTCGCTGAAAAATTCTCAAGTAAAAAAAGGATCTATTATATACATATATACAGATTTAGGTTATTTTGCGTACTTATTG